TGAGAAAGTAAAAGAATACATCCGAAAGGGAGATTTACCAAAACTACAGGAGAAATATCAAAAAGCATTGAATCAAGAAGTAACAACTATGGAAGTAACAGAAGCAATTAAACAGCAAAAGAATGATAAAACTCCTGGCCCAGATAGGTTGCCAGCAGAGTTTTTTAAATCCTTTGAAGGAGTTTTTGCTTCTTAAAGATATATGTAATGCAGCACTGTTAAATGCTAAAATACCAAATACTTGGACAGAGGCAAATATTACATTAATACCAAAAGAAGATACGGACTTTACACAGATTCAAAACTATAGACTGATATCATTATTTAATGTGGATTACAAAATGTTTGCCTCCATAATGGCAGAAAGATTAAAGAAGTTTTTAATAGACTTTATTCACTCAGACCAAAATGGTTTTTTGCCTAAAAGACAAATGAGGAATAATTTAAGAACTATCTTGGATATCCTAGAGTATTATGAGATACATGTGGAAAAACCAATGACTTTATTATTTATGGATGCACAGAAAGCCTTTGATAATGTCAACTGGCAATTTATGAAGCAACAGATGGCCCAAATGGAGTTTGGTGAAAAATTTTTAATGCAATATCAAGCATTTATCAAAAGCAGTCAGCTAGGATTATAATTAAAGGACAATTTACAAAGATTATAGAGATACAAAAGGGTACAAGACAAGAATGCCCGTTATCACCTCTGTTGTTTATCCTGCTTTTAGAAGTCTTGAATAGAAATATCAGGGATGATGTGGACATTAAAGGTACCAGAATTAGAGATGAAAGCTACAAATTGCAAGCATTTGTTGATGATCTGGTTTTTATAATGGAGGAACCCTTTGCAACAATGCCTAAACTCCTACAAAGGATTGAAGAATATGGCGAAGTAACTGGGATGAAAATAAATAGAGAAAAGACAAAACTGTTAGTAAAAAATTTTACACAAGACCAGAGAAAAACCCTGCAGAAACAAATAGATTTACAGATTGTTAAAAAGGTTAAGTACTTGGGAATTTATCTTACAGCTAAGTGTACTACTTTGAAAGAAGACAATTATGATAAACTATTGAAGGATATTAAGGGTGAGCTGGAAAAATGGGCTAATTTGCAATTATCTTTGCTGGGAAGAATAGCACTTGTTAAAATGAATATATTACCCAAGCTTTTCTTTTTATTTCAAATGATTCCCATAAAAATTGATAGAAAATTTTTTGATGATTTAAATTTTACAAATTTCAAGATATTTAAGGAGAAAGAAGAAACCAAGGATTACATTAAAAATATGTCAGGAAACTGAAGAGAGCAGGGGTTTTGGTCTCCCTGATTGGATGTTGTATTATCAAGCTTCTGTTTTAACATGGCTAAAAGAATGGATAACTTTAAGAAATAAGAGAATTTTGTATCGTGAAGGACATGATTTGCAAATGGGCTGGCATGCTTATATGTGGTATGAGAAACCTAGGTCACATGGTTCTTTTTTAAGTCACTATATTAGAAAATCATTACTGTCAGTGTGGGAAAAGTTAAAGATAAAATTGTATAATAAATTACCAAGATGGCTTTCACCCACGGAAGCTGTTGTGTATCCAAATGCATTGAATTTTGAAGAGATTATAAGATATGATGATATTTTGGATAAGGATGGAGGATTGAAATTGAATCAAGAAACACAAGAACAGGGATCTAATATCTCTTGGTGGCATAAGGTGCAGATACAATCGAGATATGGTAAAGATTGTAAAGCGTGGGGTTTTTATAAGGATTTAAAAGCATTTGATCAAGTGATGCTTAGATCAGATGAGAAAATGATTAAAAGATTATATGACTTCCTACTTGATAGGAAAATGGAAGATGAACAGGTTAAGGAAACTATGATAACTTGGGCACAAAAATTTGGATATAATATTGAATTAGAAAAGTGGCAAAAGCTGTGGGAGAGAAATATTAAGGTAACATTGGCAATTTTGTATAAAGAAAACTTGTATAAAATGTTTTATAGATGGTATCTGTCACCAAATAGATTAACTAAGATGTTTCCAAATATGTCAAATAGATGTTGGAAATGTAAACATAAATTGTATACTTTTTATCATATGTGGTGGCCTTGCGATAACGTGAAAAAGTATTGGATTAAAATACATAAATGGCTTGAGAAAATGTTACAAAAACCCTTAGCTTTTAAACCTGATTTTTTTTTTATTAGGCTTTATACCGGAGGACACTAATAAACAAGAAATGTATTTGATTTTGTATGTAATCTCTGTGGCGAGAATTGCTTTTGCTGAGCACTAGAAAAGTGAAGAACTACTCACCAATGAACAGATTTTAAAAAAGATCCTGGACTGTGCAGAAATGGATAGATTGACTTTATCATTGAAGGAGAAGGAAGATACAGACTTCTATCAAACTTGGGACTCTTTTTATTATTGGCTAGAGAAACGGGACTTCGCATAGATTTAAATATGTTTTAAAAGTTTTCATAAATGGAAAAAGAAGAGTGTGGGGGCTGACCCAGTGGGCTCGATGTTTTTGATGATGGATGTTGTTTGTAGTTTTCTTTTTTCTTTTTTTTAGGATTATAATTTCAAATAAAACTTATTTAAAAAATTTAAACTAAAGTGCACACTTATTCTATCTGTGTTCAAGGTAAGCTGGAGTCCTTTTTCTCTATACACCCTTCACCTGCAGGTCTGGATAATCTGCCACTGCTAATTCCAACATGTTTTGAAGAGGAGAACACTGTGGAAGAAGAATGAATAAAAAAACAGCATCATTACTGAAGATTTAAATGCTTCCAGGCAAAATGTAACTCAATTATTGCATAGCACCCAGTTGGTCCTCTTGCTATGCCAGACCAACTACCACATACAGGAAGTTTCAGAATGGTATCCACTGAAATTAGAGGGATGTCTCCCAATTTCATGGAAACAAATGCTTCTGCTGTCGTGTATTTGTGTGAATGTGCATGCGTGATATTCAAGTTCCAGTCTGAACATTTACTTATCAAACTTAATGTTGGTCTGGCCTTTAACAGAGCTGGGTGGTTTAGATCCATCTAAATTGCCCTTCAGGGACCCCATGTGAACCAGAGCCTTTGCTCATAATGTGATTAAGGAGTCTATCTTCCCTTCCCCTCTCTGTAGCACTAGAATTGGCAGCTGTTCTTCTATTTGAATTGCTAAATTTTCTTTTACGAGGCCAAAGGGGTAGCAGGATGAATGGCTAGAGGGAAGAGGTAGAAGAGGGTTGACTTGTGTTCTCTGGGGAGGAAATCCCAAAGCATTTGAGGAGTGACTAACAGCGTGTTGGACTAGGATGCTGCAAACACTCATCTTGAGCTTGGCATAAATGAAACTTTCAGGAAAGAAAGGTGACAAGAATCCAAAGTCCCTCTTCTGAGCAAAATGACATCTGATTAAGATTCAGACCCCCTCAAACTGCTCACTTTTCACAAGCCTGGTGCAGTAGTCTAACCATCCATAAAAGGGTCTTAGGGGTTTAATATGCTATCATTTTGTGTTGCTTTCTAAAACAAACAGTTTTGCTCCAAGTCCATGTAAGTACGGAAGCAACTGGCCATCCTAAATTGAGTGCCTCCAAGAAATGAAAATGCTATGTAATAATTGATTTGCATGTGAAGAACTATTTTCAGTACACATCCATGACATTCCAAAAGGATCCAGGCCACTTATTTCAGTGAAGTTTTGTCTAAAGGAAGTAATGACTGGAAAATTTTAAGGATCACGAAATGAAATCTTAAAGACAAGGGCACACACCTATCTCTTGGCAAAAAACACCAAGGGAAAGGAAAGGAAAGGCCACACAGATTGATTGCAAACTGCAGCAAACAGGTTCATTTTTCAAGCTGTTCTCCTTATTAGAAGATCCTTTTTGTTCAACTCAGGTCTCAGCAAAATGATGTAACATTTAGGGAAGAAGATGCAAAACAGCAGGCCGGAACTGGAGGCTAAGATGGAAAAGATCTCCACAGTCACCAGGTATTTTCCTTTTGTGCTCAGGTAGGAAGGCACAAAGGATAACCACACACTGCAAAAGACCAACATGCTAAAAGTGATGAACTTGGCCTCATTAAAACTGTCTGGCAGCTTCCTGGCTAGAAAAGCCACAATGAAGCTGACCATTGCCAGGAAGCCCAGATAGCCCAGGACACAGTAAAACATCGCCATGGATCCCTCGTTACATTCCAGAATGATTTCTTCAGCCACTGAATGCATGTCAATATCTGGAAAAGGAGGAGATGTTGCCAACCAGGCAAGGCAGATGGCTGCCTGAATAAGGCAGCAGAAAAGAACGATTGAGTTGGCCAGACTCTTCCCCATCCACTTCCTTATTGTGGATCCTGGTTTGGAGGCTCTGAAAGCCAAAACCACCATGACAGTCTTTGTTAGCACACAAGAAACAGCCACTGAGAAGATGACACCAAAAGCAGTTTGCCGCAGGAGGCATGTCACCTGGTGCCGCTGGCCAATGAAGAGGAGTGTGCAGAGGAAGCAGAGCAGGAGGGAGACGAGGAGAGTGTAGGTGAGGTGCCGGTTATTGGCTTTGATGATTGGTGTCTTGTGATGCTTCTGAAATATTCCCAGCACCAGAGCCGTGATCAGGCAGAAGAAAGTAATAAAACTGGTTAAAAAGACACCCAAAGGTTCCTCATAAGAAAAGAAGTTAACAGACTTGGGAATGCAGAAATTCTGGTGCTTGTTTGGGTACTTTTCATCTTCGCATGAATAACAGTAATGCATATCTGAGAAAAAGTAAATACATTAATATTCTCATGCATCCTAAAGTTCTCACCTCTGTTCATATATACATCTGAGGAAAAATGAATATATACTTTTTCTCATGTATTCTAAAGTGCTCACAACAGGCCACATCAACTGCTCAGAAGGTTTTTTTTTTCTAGTCAAGGTAGAGAATCCATTAATTTCATTGCATCCACATTTGTAAGCTCTCAAGTGCTTTCCACTCTGAATATGATGAAATTGCTCATTTCCTATTACAGACCAGTTCGAACGAAATTCTCACCCAAATGCATGAGCCAGATGTTTCCAGCATGAAGAGGACCATGCTGTGTTGGCCTGCTGTTGAAAATGAAAAACTTTTCATGGGATGTGTTCGGGGGAAGCCCTAATTAAGTGCTAATGTGATCAAATGCACAGTGATTTCAGACCTAGAATTTTATGATCAAAACACTCTGTGCCATCAGCCTAGATGGATCGATACTTTCATCCATTTTAGTTTGCATATGACTATTAAATACCATAAATGAAGAAGCAGCGGTAACATAGAATCAGCTTATTTGGGGAAAACAGTGCTTCACTTTTATTGGCTACAGCTTCCATAGCACAGGCCCAGAATGCAATGGCACAGGAAGGCAGTTGCCTTGACGTTCCACCTCAGAGTGACTTGTGGGGAACCCCACTTTGGGCAGTGGGGACATGGAGAGTGCTGCTCCTGACAAAAATGATCCAGCCCAGTGCTGGAATATTTAGCATCCAATGCACTAGGATCACTTCAAACAGCAAGAGAAAATGATCACACATGTCATCACACACACCAACTTCCTCCACCACTGTTGAACACCTTTCTCCTGGTACCCCCTAAGCCCATTCAATCACACTTCAATCCCTGAAGAAACCTCCTTTACATCCTTGTTCTATATTCATGAAATATATTAAGAATAGATGCACAATGTAATGCCTACCCTTCTTGCTTGAAACCTTCCCTTTGGGACATGGGATGCAGTCATAACAGCAAAATGGCTCCCCTTCCTTCACCTTCTTCCTAGACCCAGGATTGCAGCTCTCACTGCATGCAGATAGAGGCTGTGCCTAAGTCATCAGAGGTGGAAGACAATAAGAATCATAAGAATTGCAGGATGAAATCCTTCCAGTTCTGCAATCTCTTTTTAAAATGCCAAGCTCTCCAGGTGCTCCTTTTCCAAAAATGTGCTCTGTGATTCTTTAGTAAGGTTGAAAGGAGATGACTGTGTCTTGGAGAGAAAGTGCCTGCGTGCTTCCCACCTGCTTGTAAATGGAATAGAGAAATGGTGCAAAACATCAAGTTCCACATCCCATACCAATGGCTTCATCAAGCTAGTTCCTTCTGGGTTGGGAAACTACAACTGTTCAACTTTGCCTAAATTGTCTCCAAATTACATTTCAATGTGCTCCTATTTTTGACATGTATGTCTTCTACTTGGAACAAGTAAGCTTAGCTTGTGTATTGTAACATTTTTTGTAAAAAAAAATGCACATTTTCTTGTAAAAGTATTTTTTTTCAAGTGTACTCATTAATCCAGGAATTTTCTAACATTTCTCAAAGAAAACATATTGTTATTTTAAAAGGGAAATGGTCACATGATTTGTCAGAAGTGGAATTGCTGTGTATCCCTCTGCCATCCATTTCAGACATTCCCATAGGGAAGCCACCCAAAGGTAAATGCCATATGGGCATTCTACATGCATCCCCGTGACTTTGAGAGCACCCCCCATCTTGCCCAATTGCTGCTTTGGCAGCAACGCAGTGGCAGCAAACCACATATGTTTTCCCCATAGGTCAAATACAGCTTGAATATCTTGGCACATCATATATTAAGAGACTTTGCCTGCCAAGATGCTCTGAGAGCTGACACTGGTCCCCAGGGGCCCAAGGTTGCCCACCCACTCCTGCAACACTTCACTACTCTTGGGTTGGATCATGTTGTGCCACACTGACATTGAAAGCAAAGAAAAGCACATTACAGCAGCACGACTTTTTGTCCACAAATGCACTGGTATAGAAATTAGTTATAATCTAAAATTTTGAAAATTATTTTGAGTTTGTTGTAAGAAAAAAGTGGGATAGAAATCTGAAAGGGATGGATGGTTTGATGGAAGGCAGCCAGGCAGATAGATAGATAGATACAGAATATATACATAGATTCAAATCAGTATTACTGTGGGGTGTTTGGAGGTTGTGGTGGTGGAGAAAGAAGGATGCCTTAATTTGTCATTTTCACATTCTCCTGCCTTTGAATATTTAACACATTATTCATTCCATCTCAAATATGAAGAAACATGCAGAATTCAGTATTTTTTTTCTAAAAAAAGATTAGACTGAAATTAAATTGTCACTCATCTGTCCTGGCCAAAAGAGAAAAGAAACACGCAGTCCCACCTTCCTGCTGTGTCGCTATTAAAGATGAGAGGCAAGGAGACAAACTGACTGTTGTTATTTCTTCCACACTCATACTGCTCTAATCTCAACTTCTTTCCATCCCATATATCAAGACACTTCTTAATTTTGGTAAAACATAATACAGAATAAATGAAGTAAAAATTTCACTCATCCCCAGGAGAGGAGAGAAATAATAAAAGAACACAGATTACACAAGAGAAACCTGAACGTGCACTATTTTACTATAGACTGGTTCAAGTATTTGTCATCCTTTGATATCAATGGGACGCTAATCATAACTAAATTGGGTTCTGTCCCTTTCAATGTGCAACCCTAGGTATGACAATGACTGGATCTGAACATACATTTGCAATTGCATAATATCACCTAGTAACTTAATGAAACAGAGTTAAGTTAAAAATAAATGATTTAACATATAATATAAACAATAGAGAGTGAAAACAATATTTTTTTCTTGCAATTATTTCAGCTGCACAGGAACCAGGGCAGGTGTTTATTGGATCTCATTCACTCCATCAAGTATTGTACCATCCAGTTCCACTTAAGTATATTTCTAGGTCTAACAATGTCAAATGAAATAAAGTGCACATGCCTTTATGGAATGTTAACCAAATGTTTAACATTGGTTAACTGAATGTTAAGCAAATGTACAGATTATGCCACTCTGCCAAGAACCAAACCTGATTAAACCAGCTGTTCCACATTATGGCTTCCGGACTGATGGTGAATGCTTTGCCTGGAGCAGCCTGGGCATCCATCCTCCCAACTTTCACTCTTCGAAAAGATTGGTTTGAGGACACAATCCAATTGATCACATCAAATCCAGTTACTAACTCTCCATTCTCATTAAAAGAAACCTTGTCCCCAGCACTGTTGTTAAATGAAATGGCCTTCAGAAAATGATGGAGCTGTAATGAAAAGGAAGCTTAGAAAAAATGTGAAAGGAATCATGCAGAGGGAGAAAAATACTTGAACAGGATGGCTGCCATTATCAAGATTATATTTCAACGATCCCTTTATGCTTTAAATACTGAGTTTCAGTATTCAATGGTTTAAATTGAATTGCTTCCGATGTTTGAGTCAATTTTCCAGGCATTCTAGAAATGTAGTTCATGTGGGGGAACCCATTTTAAATGTTCTTGCAAAGTATTCTCCAGGACCTTGCAGTTTGTGAGTGAATGGGCATGATCGTCTGGTTCAAATACGAACTGAATGAGTAACCCTACTTTATGTTGAAGATTTTTGGTATCTACAAGGTTGTAGTTCTCTCCCACATGAGGTTATTCAGCCCATCACCTGCCACTGTACTTGGCTGTGAAACATCAGTCCACTTCTGGTCACTATTCCTCTGTTGTTTAGACCAGATGAAGATAGGGCATGCAAAGCATGGGCCACCGCGTGGACAGCATTGTAGACATTGTAGCTGTGGCCAGTCAAGCTCATTTCAAAAAAGGTTGCAGGAAGACACTCCAGCTTCTCATCCCCAGTGCAGATATTCCCATCTACATTGCTCAGAAGTGGATCTGGAAACACACAGCCAAAAGCCTGTTGCCAAAATGACCTAATAAAGCCATCTCCTTTTGGACTGGAAGGGTTTTTTGCTTTAAGGAATTGGTGAAATCCTGGAACATGGTTGGACTGAATTGTGAAAGAAAGAGCACCATGGAAAAAGTCAATATTCCAATTCCTTTGATAGACAAATGATGTGAGCTCAACCTGAGCTGTCACAATCATTACTTTACCAATTGGTTTATTTGTCACATGTTCTCTTTCTGAGAGGTATGGTAAGAATCTAAAAAATGCCATGAGATAAGATTCTCCATTGGCTACCAAGACATTGGTTGTGCTGTCCTCAATTTTATCACGTATTTTTGCCCCTTTCTCCAAAATGTTTTTCATATCACTGCCAAGAGCAAATTCAGGGATTTTCTCAATGAAGGCAAAACAGACCCCACTCTCAGAAAACAGTGGGACCACCATCTGGAGGAATTGCTCTCCATTGTCATTATCCATTATGACTGCCCCAATCCATGTCCACCCAAAATGCAGCAGCATAGAGAGAATGCCTGCATACTGAAGGGACTCCCTGGGAGTCATTCTGTAGAAGGAAAGGCGTGGGGTTTTATCATTCATTACTGGTGCAGAGCCATATATCAGCTAAGGAGATACAAGAAGAAGATGAAAAACTCCAAATAATAAAGAAACTATTTTGGCAGCTTTGATGTATTCAAAACGTTTGCCTATATAGCCTTGCCAATCTTCTCAACAATATTACAACACTGGCATCCCCAGTGCATCATGACACATGTAGGCAACTCCAGTGGTGCCTGAAAAGGTTTCTCTGATATGGCACCCAAGCACATTTTACTATTTTTTCTACTATATGTGTGTGTTTGTGCCAATGGACATATATGACATACATTTAACTTCCTTGCTATGATTTGAGACTTCAGCAAATGTGGTTCAAATACCCAAAGAGGTATGCATTTGAAGGCTGTGTTGATATGTCTCCTTATGTTCATATATCAAAAAATTACAAGGTGTTCACCCATTGCCTGATGAATGGGTGCTCCTGTACTCCCTTTCAGTTTTGTAACATCAGTCTTTTAGCAATGAGGAGGTCACAGAGAATCCATTTCATCCATGTGTTAATTTCTATGAAATATTTTATAATTTAATAACAATGCATAATTCAAGGAATAGTGAATATCCAGTGCCAAACCTACATGTGTCATAATCTCCCTGTGTACACAAAAGGAGAAACTACCAGGAGCTGAAGTGGCATTTTGTAGAAGCTTTGCAATTGCAGACTTCTCAAGAATAGAATAATACAGGGGTTCCTAGAGTTTCTTGGCCCATGTGAGCACTTCCAATGGTGCCTGAAAAGGGGTCTTCCAAATGACCCTAGAACATGATATCTCTTTTTCCATTATGTATCTGTGTGGATGTGTCTCCATGGTCTTGTAAGACAAGCACACAACTTGCTAGCAAGAATGCCTATTCATCAACAAGATGGACCAAATATCCAAAGAAGTATGCTTTTGAAAGCTATGTCATTACATGTCCTCCAGTGCATATTTCAAAACATTACATTCTCCTCAGTCATTGCCTTGTAGATGAATGTTACCTTACTCACTCTCAGTTTCTTAGTATCTGTGTTTTAGCAATGAAGAGGGCAGAGAGAATCCATTTCACCCACTTAATTTCCATGAAATAACTGAATTATTTAACAATAGTGTATGACCCAATGACTATTAAAGATTATTCAGTGTGAAATCTGCATGTGTCATAATCTCCCCCTGCACACAAAAAGGCAATTACTATAAATTTCCAAATATGATGTTTCAAAGAAGTACTCCCCAATCTAGGCAATTCCATATTGAGGAGATGATGCAGCATTCAATAGATGCAAAACTATTTTTACTAAACAAGGCTCAGATTAAGATCTGTAGATGAGGCAAGGAGGTATCAAAACATTGATCCACTCATTCAAATTCTTTTTTTTTTTTTTTCAAATACCCAAATTTGTCCAGGGGTCAAAAATGATTGGGCACCACTGCCCAGAAAAAGAAATGCTGATCTCTGTCCTTCCCTGAACCACCTTGAGCCTGCTGGAGGAAAGAGGAAGGAAAATGAAGAGTGTCTGTGGCTTTTCAAATTCAAATGTTTCTGTGATTGTGGCCTGATTCTCTGCCTAGACCCATATTTCCCAGATCCACATAAATTAATGCAGTCCCAGCAGCAATATCCATCATGCTGCATAGTTTGCTTCACCTTTGATGTTCTCAAGGGAAGACAGACAATTATTATTTCCAATGCACAAATCTCAATCTCCAAAGCAGAAGTACACAAAAGGAAGAACAAATTGAATGTGAAGGAAATGTTAGACTCCTGCTCCCCATGTTCATCGAAAGACATGCTCCCAACCTGTGGAATCGTATAGATATCCAAGATACTTGCTACATAGAGGGAGGTTTAGGCATCCACTCCCCCAGTGATGGCTATCAAGAGCTGCTGGATGTCCCATTCATAGTTTGGGACTAATCTCCCAGCTGCGCATTTCAGATTAAGATCTGTAGATGAGACAGCATGGTATCAAAATATTGATCCAGTCATCAGATCCTTTTTTTCCAATTCCCAAGCATGTACAGGTGTCCAAACTGATTGGGCACTACTTCTATGATCTACATAAATGGAAATATCCCCTCTCCCTGCAATATATATTTCCCAAAAACCACTGAAAATACTGAAGCTTCTTTTCTGAGTCAGTGTTATATTCAGAAGCAGACTGACCCTTTCTCGTTGCTGTCTCCCCACATCAATCACCAAAACACTCTGCCTTCTCCTGAAATGGTCAGTAATCCAGGCTGGTGGTGAATGCCAGGCCAGGTGTGCACACAAAAAGAAACACTGTGCTCTGTCCTCCCAGCACTATCTTGAGACTGCAGCAGGAAGGAAGGAAGTAAATGAAATGAAGAGCATCTGTGGCATTTCATGTTTATGTGAATGTGGTCTGATCCGCTGCCTAGACCCTCATGTCTCAGAGCCATATCCACATGAACAAATGGAGTCCCAGCAGAAATTCCCCTCTCCCCAAAGAGTCAGCTTCACCTTTGACATTCTTGCTCATTGAAAGATGACAAAGGTAATTATTTCCAATCTACAAATCTCCATCTCCAAAGCAGAAGTAAACAAAAAAATAAAAAAAGGACAGAGTGACTGTGAAGATGTTAGACTCCCACTGCTCATATTCATCTAAAGACATGCTTCCCACCTGTGGAATCTTATAAATATCCAAGACAGTTGCCATGTATAGGGAGGTTTGGGCATCCAGTCCCCCGGTCACTGCTATCAATTGTTGTTGGATGTCACAGTTGTAGTTTGGGACTAATCTCCCTGCTGTGCATATCAGCAGCAAGGTGGCCTGATAGGTCCACTTGGCCGTGAAATAGCTGTCATAGATGTGGAAGCCCAAGGTGAGGTTGGGTAAGATGTGAGGACTGTCATTGATCTCTTGCACTGCAAACGTCAAGGCCAGGATATGCTGGTAATTCTTTGGCACCACACTAGAAGCAACAAAGTCACCTCCTGTATTAGAACATTCCTCACACACTATTTTGTATAAAGCTGACAGTGCTTTTGGCACCACCATAATCTTCATATCAATTTCATTTCTGTCTTGCAATGACCTACACAGAGCTAACACGGCCTCCCAATATTGATATTCGATTTCCAAATAGACCATTCCCAGGGCTGTCTCATGGAAAAGGAATTGAAAAGTGTGATCCCATGCATGTCAGCTCAGAGAGAAATCATCAGATTGCAGTGAAGCTTCTTTCCCAAGGAAATGTGTTAGTGCATAAGGCCACAAAGCTATCCTCCTTACGGCAGTGGCTCACCAACTTCTCAATGAAGAGGCTTATGCAATAACATGCAAGGCATGAGGTACAGTGATAGAGGGATGCCCTGCATTTTATCTAGATGGACATTTTCAGCCATTGGGATTCAGGGCATTAAACAACACATTTTTCTGTTCAGATTGTAGTCCCAGTTAGGACAAAGAATCATGTAATTCAATTGCTTCCAATTCTAACAGTGAACCTTTGTCCTGCGATGGATCCAGTATCTGCCTTCGCTAAAAACAACTAACTTCCAAAACAGGAAAGGGCTTCACTAATGCTAGAAACACTTCATCTGATTTTGGGATTCCTCTCTGTCGATCCTGCCACAGATCAGCATATTCAAGAAGGACTGCTGTGGAGAGGTGAAATCTACATCCCCAAAGAGTTGATCCAATACCCTGAAAACTGGCCATATGTGGTTTCCATAAAAGATGGCAGAATTAAAAGGAGAGATTGGTGAAGAGAAGAAAGAACAAAAAAGAGGAAGAGAAGTATTCCTGAAGAAACTTAAGACAGAAAATGGTGGAGGAAATACAAGGACAACAGAGAGGATCCAGAATGCATCCTTCTGCCTATGCAGAAAACCTTTCATGATCTGAACTTTCTCTACATCCCGAGTCACTATTCAGAGGTTGCATCAGCTATATAAATTTCAGGGGACAATCAGATGAAGAATGAATGAATGAACGAATGAATGACCTGGGCAGAAAAACAAAATATTAACTCCTTACTAAAATTCATCAAGCAGTGCTAGTGGGGGTTCTCCCATGAAAGTGAATGGATCAGGAACAATGATGGCCATAGAAGCAATGGCACCAATCCTAAGGTCACCTAACTGTGGAAACTCATGAAGTGGAGATTGTGGGTCATGGTTCTTGCATTTTTGAGCATCAGCCTTGCTTCCAATTTGGAGAAGCATGCTCAGCAACACCACTTCAAATCCCCCCATGCTGAGTAGAAGGACAAGACTTTGTTCCTCATGCTCCTCCTTATTCCCACTTAAAGCACTGAGATTACAAATATACACTCCTTCACAGCACTGGCTTCCCTTATTTATCCCTATGATTTAATATCACTGTATACATTGTCACCATCTTTCAAAGTCTAGTATAGTTGTTTTCTTCATTAGAAATCTACAGGGATGTTTGTTAGTGACTGAACTGCCCTTTAGACAATTAAAGGAGAATATAGCAATTTGACATCAGGTTAGTTGCAGTTGAAAACAGTGTGGTTTTTCACACTTGATGGGCAGCACAGGATTTCTATTAGTTGTATGCATTATCTGGGAATGAGTCATCAGAAAGTAATGCAGGCCTATGAGGCTACACACAACATTCATTATGAAACCCACAGGTGCTTTTGTTCTCTCCTTGGACTCCATATATACCACCCCAATGTGGATTGGGACCACAATGTTTGGGCAGGGAAGGTCAGGTCTACCTCTCCATCCATTTACTTTGTAATAGTCTCCTACCCTTTCAAATGAATCTTTCCACTCATAGTAAATTCTTGGAGGAACATTAACATTTGAGTACGGGAGGTGAATTTAGTTCTCTTCTCCGTCTGTGTTGTGGTCCCAGTGTGAAGAACAACACAAATTACAGAAATGAT